AAAGAAAGAGAAAAATGAATGGAAGAAAGCCTCACAGAACAAACAAAGGTGATTTCTTTTTTGTTTGTTTGTTCTTTTGAGACGGCGGAGTTTCGCTCTTGTTAACCAGGCTGGAGTGCAATGGCGCGATCTCGGCTCACCGCAACCTCCGCCTCCTGGGTTCAGGCAATTCTCCTGCCTCAGCCTCCTGAGTAGCTGGGATTACAGGCATGAGCCACCATGCCCAGCTAATTTTTTGTAGTTTTAGTAGAGACGGGGTTTTACCGTGTTGACCAGGATGGTCTCGATTTCTTGACCTCGTGATCCACCCGCCTCGGCCTCCCACAGTGCTGGGATTACAGGCTTGAGCCACCGCACCCGGCACAAAGGTGATTTCTAAAAACATATATCATGAGTCTTCAAAATATTAATACAAAGGTCCGCTGAGTACCTTGTACCACCACGCCCAGCTAATTTTGGAATTTTTGTATTTTTAGTAGTGATGGGGTTTCACCATGTTGGCCAGGCTGGTCTTGAACTCCTGACCTCAAGTGATCCACCCACCTCTGCCTCCCAAATTGCTGGGATTACACATGTGAGCCACATCTCTCACTCAGTGACAGAAACAAGACCCACACCAAAACATATTTCTGTGAATTTTCAGAGATCTAGTATGAAGAGGCAGTTTTAAATGTTTTTTTTTTTTAAATTATTATTATTATTTTTGAGAGAGATTCTCACTCTGTCACCCAGGCTGGAGTGCAGTGGCATAATCTCAGCTCACTGCAGCCACAGCCTCCTGGGTTCAAGCGATTCTTCTGCCTCAGCCTCCTGAGTAGCTAAGACCACAGGTGCATGCCACCTCACCTAACTAATATTTTGTATTTTTAGTAGCTCTATTCCACAATTCTTTTTCTTTTTGAGATAGAGGCTCTCTCTTTCGCCCAGGTGGAAGTGCAGTGACATAATCTCAGCTCACTGCAACCTCCGCCTCCTGGGTTCAAGCAATTCTTCTGCCTCAGCCTTCCAAGTAGCTGGGATTACAGGCATGCACCACCACACTCAGCTAATTTTTGTATTTTTAGTAGAGATAGGGTTTCACCATGTTGGCCAGGCTAGTCTCAAACACTTAACTTCAGGTGATCTGCAGCCTCCCAAAGTGCTGGGATTACAGGCGTAAGCCACTGCACCTGGCCTATTTTTATTTTTATAAAAACAGGGTCTCCTTATGTTGTCCAGGCTGCTTTTGAACTCCTGAGCTCAAGCAATCCTCCTGCCTCAGACTCCCAAAGTTCTGGAATTACAAGCATGAGTCACTGAGCCTGGTCTTTAAATGTTTTAAAAGAGAGAGAAACTAACACAACACAAATCAAATTGTCATTATATTTTAAAATACATACTGTAAGCTAGCAGACATGTTACATAATTGAAAATTCTAAATAAAAACTACATTCAATCCAAAATTTCAAACCCAGTTAAGGTATCATACAAAAGAGGTAGAATAAAGACATTGTCAGACTTATAAAAGTCCCAAAGTTTTGTCCCAAATTAACCTTTGTCAAAGTGCTAAACAAAACAAGGATGTGTTTTTTACAAAAATGCAAAACCAAAAAAAAAAAAAAAAAAAAAAAAAAAAAAAAAAAAAAAAAAAAAAAAAAAAGACAAGAGTTCCAGGAAACCAGTGCCCCAATATAACAAAGAGGCATAGGAAATTCCTGAGATGATCAGGAGCTGGGCATTTATTTGTTTATTTAATTTTTTTTGTGACAGGGTCTTGCTGTGTCACCCAGGCTGGAGTGCAGTGGTGCTATCACAGCTCACTGCAGCCTCGACCTCCCAGGCTGAAGCCATCCTCCCACCTCAGGTCTTTTGCCAGTTGGCTTCCTTTTACTTATTCATTGATGAATCCCACATATTCATCTATTCATTGTACAGTGGTGAAACCTCACAGACATTATTTTGAGTAAGTAATACAAGTTAACACCATCAAGAATGGAACACATTGACACTGTGTGTCTCTTGATGAGATAAACCACATTACTTATGCGGTATTCCTCCCAAAGATGTATAAAGATGTGGTACACCCAAATTGAAAAACACTCTACAAACTAGTTGTCCTGGCACGGGGGTCATGCCTGTAATTCTAGTACTTTGGGTGGCAGAAGTGGGAGGATCTCTTGAACTCAAGAGTTTGAGATAACATTGGGCAACACTGCAACACCCTATCTCTACAAAAAATAAAAACATATCGGGGCGTGGTGATGCAGGCCTGTAGTCCCAGCTACTCAGGAGGCTGAAGCAAGAGGGTTACTTGAGCTCAGGAGTTCAAGTTGCATCTGGTATTATGTCTAGCTATCATGGCGCCATTGTATTCCAGCCCAAGTGATAAAGCAAAGCCCTGTCTCCAAAAAAAAAACCAAAAACCAAAAAACAAAACCCAAGCAAAACTCACCACCACCAAAACCAAAATAACCTGGATTCTTTGAAAATGTTAAAGTCATGAACAAGTAGGATACTCAGAAAACAAATAGTAAGGTGGAAGATTTAAATCCAAATATTTCAGTAGTTCCATTAAATGTACATAGGACTGTATGTGCCTATTATTAGGAGTCTGAGATAAGATAAAAGCACGGATCTCATAACAACAAATTACTTTGAAATCTTCTTTCTTGCTTTAAAAGGCATGTTGGATTTACATTCTAGTCCATAATAAATACGACTATTTTAACATAAAAATCTATTTATGTTGTTTATCAGATATTAGGGTTTTTTTCCCCTCTCCTCTCAACCTCCAGATAAAATCGATGCTCCCAAATAATCCCCTTTTATTATCATTTTACAAATGCCTGGCTCCAAGATTACTACCTGATTCAAAGACACAATCCTGGTCTCTCAAACAGGCAACCCACATTGACACTCACACAGTTTCCACTCACACCTGCGACCACAAGGCAGCATCTTCGGGCCCTCGTTAGCCAAGACCCGTTCCCAGAGGGCATCCGCACACAAGCTCATCCAAGCCACGATTTTGATTCCTTTCCTGCCCCTTCCTCCACCCGATCGAGAACGCGACCATCAGATTTCACCTTCACCTTCACCCTCAGCGCAGTGCAGACCGAGCCCTGGACTCACCCATATACAGATTGAAATGTCCCGTCAGTGTTTCATCCCCTCTGCATTCTGAAGGCGAGTTAGCATCTGGTTGCGTGAGTTCCAAACTAACAGCCAGGACCAGGCTTGAAGCGAAGAATTCCTAGACTCGCATCATGGCTAGTTTGACCGCGTCTCTGTCTTTGGACTACATTTCCCATCAGTTCACTGTTCGTAGGTACTTCCGCCAAGAACCGGAAGCACGTTTTCTTGTGTCGTACCCCAGATAACCGAGCTGCCAGGGATAATCAGGCCTGGCCACTCTAGCGAATAAGCCGGCCCCATAGCGAGCCGCTCGGCATGAGGGCGGTAAATGGAAACAAGCCCGGCTTGGCGAGGAGTAGGGAAGCCCGGAGCAGGGCTCCGGACTACATTTCCCAGAGCATCCCGCAGGCCGCGACAAGTCTTGCGAGATTTAGGCTTCCTCTTAGCCAGGTGGCGGGACTGTTGGCTGTGCTGAATTAGCCGCCGCCGCCTGTCGGAGTCTGGAGCAACTTGGCCAGGCTGTCCCCGACCGGAACTAGAGAAAGCTGAGGGTGAGGAATCCGGCTCCGGTCCTTTTGTGTGTGGAGGAATGAGGAGAGGAGTTTGCGTGTGTGATCGCGATGGTTGCCGTGGGTCTTCGTGGTCTGCGACTGTGGCTGTGTGATGCTGACTCTGGGTGATCGATCAGGTGGCCGCTTGTGACTGCGCACCCGGAATGTTTGAGTGTATCCTGGACGAGCCGCGCTGTGCGTGCGGATGTGGAGAACCGGTGATTGCATGGTTGGGGCTGCGTGTCCCCGGGTGGGTGCGTGACTGCGTGTGTGTGCAGCACCGTGTGCGCGTGAGATGCAGGTCTGTGGCTGTGCAGGTGCAACTTGTGTGGCCCCTTGGTGTGTGTGAGAAAGGAGAGTGTGATGGCTGTGAGGCAATCGGTAAGTGGATATGGGGAGGCGTGTGTGCGATTGGGACTTTGTGTGTCCCCTTGAGAGAAAAAAACAGGCAGTTAGGGTGCGTGGGTTCTGGGTAAAACTCCTTTAAACAGAAACTGCCTGAAAAATCAGGCTGCAGGCACAGATAAGGAAAACCAGCACAGGGGGTTGTCCTAAAGACATTCCTCAGCTGCACTGATAAGGGACCGAGGCCCAGCATAGAAACGCCTTTGTCCTTCGTGTGACCGGCGGGCTTCCAGGAAACAGTTGCTTCTTTCGTGGGCATGTACACGGTGGGCTCTGTTAGGTTTTGAAGGGAAGGCGAGGGTTAAAGAAAGAGTTGTCAGCTCAATGGCGGGGACCAGCTAAATGCCAGAGGCCACTGCCCCTAACAGGCTGGAGTAATTACAGGCCTGGGCAGGAGGGATCTGCACGGTTATGGCTTGTTGCCTGGGAGAATGTTGATAAGGATGTTTTTTGGGCCTTTGCCCAGCAAGATGCGATAAGGAAGTCAGGCGGTTGGGGAGGATATTTCTCACAGCCCGAACCCTCGTGGAATGTTTCTCTCTGACCAGGGTCTGTGAAATGGCCGGGGCTTCCAAAACTGCAGCTTGGACTAACAGGTTCCAGTGGCCACTTCCCTTTTTTGGACATGCTTTGAACTGTGAGCTGAGCCTCTACGAATTATCTCTTCAGTCCCTGATTCTTCCCAGCCAAGCTTTCACTTCAGCCCCTGATCGGCCCTGGGCCAAGCTTTCACTTCAGTCCCTGATCGGTCCTGGGCCAAACTTTCATTTCAGCCTTTGATTGGTCCCGGGCTAAGATCCCAGGGCCAAGCTGAGCAGTGCTTTTTCCAAGACGGCCCGCAGACCAGTCAGCACATTCCTCCCCTTCCCCATTCATAAAAACCCCAGATTCAGCCTCCTAAGTTGGCAATCTTCTCTCGGGTCCCCTCTCCGCTAGGGAGAGCTTTCTGCTTTTGCTTATTAAAATTCCGCTCCAACCTCATCCTTTGTATCCACGCTCCTTTTTTCCCTGAGAAAGAATTCCAGGCGATACCGGGAACAAGGAGAGACTGCCACATTGTGGTGCACTAGCGAGACTAACACTTTTAGTGTGTTTGTAGGATTATGAATGACCTCGTGACCTGGCACAGCAACTGTGTGTGCACAGGGGGTGTGTGTGCTGTGATTGTGCAGGTGTGACTTCACCACTCCGTTCCCAGGAGACATCTTTGAGCTCAGGATAGATTCTGGCCCTTTCCTGTCATTACATTGTGCTGGACTCTCCGGTTTTCCCTGACATTCTCCTGCCTGTGTGTTGTGTGGGAGTCGCAGGCTTGAAAGGTGGGGCATTCCAACCTGGTCAGTTGGGGTTTCAAAATAAGATAAGTGTCTTACCAATTTCTTTTTCTTTCTGGAAAAAAAACAAAAACAAACAAACAAAAAAACCCACCTTATTTCTATTTATTTTCTGAGATAGGGTCTCACTCTGTCACCCAGGCTGGAGTACAGTAGATTGATCACGGCTCACTGTAGCCTGGAACTCCTGGGCTCAAGTGATTTTCCCAAGTCAGCCTCCTGAGTAGCTAGGACCACAGGCATGTGCCACCATGCTAGGATAATTTTTTTTTTTTAAGTCAAGTTTTGGCTCTTTCTCTCTCACAGGCTAGAATGCAGTGACATGATCTCAGCTCACTGCAACCTCTGCCTTCCCAACTCAAGCCATCCTCCCACTTCAGGCTCCAGAGCAGCTGGGAGTACAGGCGCAGGCCACCACACCTGACTTTATTTTGGCATTTCTTGTAGAGATTTTGCCATATTGCCCAGGCTAGTCTCAAATTCCTGGACTCAAGCGATACGCCTTCCTTGGCCTCCCAAAGTGCTGGGATTATAGGCGTGAGCCACTCCACCCAGCTTAGTTTCTTTGAACAGTTCTGTTATAAAGAGAAAGAGGAAGGAATGGTTACTGAGCACCTGAAGACCAAGCTCAAGCTCAAAGTGCTTTGGGTTTTTTCTTTTTCTTTTTTTTCTTTTTAGAGACAGAGCCTTGCCCTGTTACCTAGGCAGCAGTACAGTGGCACAGTCTTGGCTCACTGCAAGCTCCATCCCTGCCCCCAGGTTCAAGCAGTTCATGTGCCTCAGCCTTTCGAGTAGCTGCAACTACAGGCGCATGCCACCATGCCTTGCTATTTTTTTTTTGTATTTTTAGTAGAGACAGAGTGTCACTATGTTGGCCAGGCTAGTCTGAAACTTCTGACCTCAAGTGATCTGCTGCCTCGGCCTCCCAAAGGGATAAGAAACGTGAGCCACTGTGCTGAGCAGGTGGTTTTTTCTTTCTTCCCTTAAGTCGTTGTTTTTTTCAGAACATTTTTTTCTCCCTTTTCTGACAATTCCTGCTTACCAAAAGCCCATTCGAAAGACCTGTACTTCCCATTGGACTATATAATGGAGGCCCCAGGGTTAAAGACTGGGTGTCCTATATGTCCTGTCTACTTTAGTATTAATTTGGCTGTTTATCCTGTGTGCAGAGTCTCCTCTTAAGATCTCTGCTGGCCTAGTGAGGCAAAGACAAGAGCCTTTATCCTAACAACTCAATTACTGAAGAGAAGATTAGTGCATATTCTATGTAGCATCACACACCATAGCCCTGGGATGGAAAGCCATGCAGTTTATGGGATGGTGTTAATATTATCCAAATAGGTGACAAGATCTTTTACTTTGCTATATTTTAGGGGTAGGAATGAGATTGGGGGCTTGATCAATAGTTGTACCAATAGGACCAGAGATTTGCCCAGTCATTGGTACATAAATGCTTGGGCCAGTGTCCACATCTGTATTGCATTAAATCTCAGGGCTGGGTGCGGTGGCTCATACCTGCAATACCAGCACTTTGGGAGGCCGAGGTGGGCAGATCATGAGGTCGGGAGTTCAAGACCAGTCTGGCCAACATAGTGACACTCTGTCTCTACTAAATATACAAAAAATTAGCCGGGCATGGTGGCACATGCCTGTAATCTCAGCTACTCGGGAGGCTGAAATAGGAGAATTTCTTGAACCCAGGAGGCAGAAGTTACAGTGAGCCTTTGGCCTTTGGCTTTTTATATGTTAGTGGTTGACCAATAGCTTCAGTGGGGGCTGGTCATCAGAAAGACCAAAACAGGATTAGATGGTTGAGACTTTCAGCCCTACCCTCCCACCCCTGGGGAGTGGAGGGGACTGAGGATTAAGTTGACGGCCAGTGGCCAATGGTTTAATCAATCATGCCTATGTAATGAAGCCTCCTTACAAACCCAAAAAGAATGGATTTGGAGAGCTTCCAGAGAGCTGAACACATGGAGGTTCCTGAAGGGTTGTGCCCAGGGAGGGCATGAAAGCTCTGTGTCCCCTCCCCCCATAGCTCACCCTAGGCATTTCTTCATCTGTATCCTTTGGAATATCCTTATAATCAGCCAGTAAATGTGTTTCCCTGAGATCTGTGAGCCATTCTATTCTAGCAAATTAATTGAACCCAAAGAGGGGGTTGTAGGAACCACAAATCAAACTCATCAGTCAGAAGTTCCAGAGGCTGGGACTTGTGACTGGTGTCTGAAAGGTAAGCAGTTTTGGGGACTGAGCCCTCAACCTGTGGGATGACACTATCTCATGGAGATATTGTCAGAATAGAATTGGTGGACATTTAAATGCCATGTATGAGGTGTTTATGACGATAAGAAAAAAATCAAACTGTGAAGGACATATTTCAAAATTATATGTGTACTGTGGTCACATCTGCATTGTTCTGCGTATGGAAAACAGATGGGGAGAAATAGCTTTAAGTCCTAATAGTAATTTTCTTTTCCTTCCTTTTCTTCTTTTTGTTTTCTTTTGCCTGCCTCCCTCAATATTGCATGTCTTTCCTATTACAAAGTATTATACATCAACCAACAAGACATTAGTTTCAGATTTTTTGATTTTTGTCTTTGAGAAACATTCTTCTGCATACAACTTCATACTTTCAAAATTCTCTGGCTTGGCTTGGTGGCTCATGCCTGTAATCCCAACACTTTGGGAGGCCCAAGTCGGATGGATCGCTTGAGTCCAGAGGTTTGAGACCAGCCTGGCCAAGATGGTAAAACCATGTCTCTACCAAAAATAACAAAAAAATAAGCCAGGTATGGTGGTGTGCACTGTATTCCCAGCTACTTTGGTGGCTGAGGCACAAGAATCCTTGAACCCAAGAGGCAGAGGTTACAGTGAGCTATGATCACTTTACTGCACTCTAGTGTGGGCCACAGATTGAGACTTGTCTCAAAAAAAAATTCTTTGGATAAGACCTAGAAATGGAATTTCCAGGTCAGCCACTAGGTATTATTAATGGATTTAATATGAAAAACATTTATTTGAGGATAAAGCTTTAAAAGACAGGGTCCCTGTCCTTAAGTTATAAATAAAGGAGCATTTGTAAGGTAATATTTAGAAAACATCAGATAATATCCTATAAAGTCCTCCTGTTCATGCTGATGACATTGGATGGCCAGTTATGGATGACACTTCATTCTGCCCCCTGCAACCACAGTCCTGTCATGTGTACATGATACTGACCCTATGAGAACACTGTGGATGTGAATGCATTTCCTCGAGTTCGCTTTTTGGCCTGCTGGTTTTTATCTAATGGTGGGATATCCAAAGTGAACTAACGGAGTGAAATGATTGTGAATCTGTTGGGGGGACACAGTGACAGCTAAAGCAAGGGCAGACAAGTGCTGAACTCATCTGTCCAAAGAGCCAAAGCAAGCAGCAGCATTGCTAGCAGAGCTACTGCACATTTGTACACGTGGCTTCAATGGCTCTGACCTGTTTTTTCCCAGGGTGATCATAATACATGGGGAAAGTTAGAAAATCAGAGTTGGCTGGGCAGCATGGCTCATGCCTGTAATCCCAGTACTTTGCAAGCCAAGGTGGGTGGATCACTTGAGGCCAGGAGTTCAAGACCAGCCTCAGCAACATAGTGAAACCCTGTCTCTACTAAAAATACAAAAATTAGCCAGGCATGGTGTTGGATGCCTGTAATTCCAGCTACTCGCGAAGCTGAGGTTACTGTGAGCTGAGATCAGGCCATTGCACTCCAGCCTGGGTGACAGAGCAAGACTCTGTCTCAAAATAAAAAAAAGGAAAGAAAATCAGAGCTTGTTAGCCACTTGTAGCCAAAGTAACAACACATGTGCGTAAAAATTATTCAGTAAAAGCAAAATAGTTTTGGCATATCTTGAGATTTTGTTTTATATCCAAAGGAAGACTATATATTTTATCTTTGAACTACTCTTCGGAAAATGGCTTCTTTATAACAAATATTATAGTTTTCTTCTAATTGGATCTTGAGGTCTCTTTCAGGAGAATGACTATGAACTCTAGCCTCACCCTAATGGGGCTCTAGGGGAGAGGCTTGTAGGCCTTTACAGTTGCCTTTCACAGGACATTTCTTTTTCCTGACCCACGGCCTAATGCTCAAGTGTTTAACCTGTGACCAGGTGTCTCACAGGATGCCCTTGTAACTCTTGTCTGACTTGTGTCCAGTTTATTCCTACCAAGATAACCACTCTTTTTTTTTTTTTTTTGAGACAGGATCTTGCTCTGCTGCCTAGGCTGGAGTGGAGTGGCAGAATCACAGCTAACTGCAGCCTCAACCTCCTGGGCTCAAGCAATTCTCCCACCTCAGTCTTCCAAGTAGCTGGGACTACAGGAATATGCCACCACATCTGGCTAATTTGTATATTATATATATATTTTTTAGAGATGGGGTTTTGCCATGTTGCCCAGGTAGGTCTTGAACTCCTAAGCTCAAGCAATTCACCTGCCTTGGCCTCCCACAGTGCTGTGACTACAGGTGTGAGTTACCACACCTAGCCAATGTACATTTAATTATCGAAGTACTATCTATACTATTTTATCAAAGTTCTAATTATCAAAGTGCAACAGAGGTTTTTAAGCTTTTTGTATATATTTTTGAAAGATCTTGTATTCCTTTAGGAAATGAGAAAAGGCTGGTGTGGTGGCTCATGCCTCTAATCCTAGCACTTTGGGAGGCCAAAACAGGTGGATTGCTTGAGCTCAGGAGTTTGAGGGAAGCCTGGGGAAATGGCAAAACCTCTTTTCTACTAAAAATACAAAAAACTAGCTGGGCATGGTGGCACATGCCTATAGTCTAAGCTAACACAGAGGCTGAAATGGGAGGATCACCTGAGCCTGGAAGGTTGAGGCTGCAGTGAGCTGTGATTGTGCCACTGCATTCCAGCCTGGGCAACAGGAGGAGACCCTGTCTCAAAACAAAAACAAAAACTAAAACCAGAGGGAAGAAAAAAAAGAAAATGGGAAGGGAGGAGTACCTGTTTATTAAGGGTTTGTTGTAAATAGTAATTTACATATCAGATGTTGACTGTAATATTCTTTCAGCTTTGCTAGGCCTACAGCTTGCTGTGTGCTTTTCTACTCTATTTCATTTACTTGGGAAATAATATATCAATGTGTTTTATTCATTCCCAGCGCAAACCATGGAATATTGGGAATGTCCCATTCTATGAAGGAGGTTTGCTGGCAGCAACAGGAAGATCCATGAACATGGAGGTACTTTGTTGAAGTTACACTAATTTTTTTTACTCTTCCCCACTCTCAGCCCAGCCAGTCTGCTCAGTATAATATTCTCTCCAACCTTGAGCACCCTTTCCATCTCCTCCTTCATCTTAAAAACCTTTCCTTTAATTTCAACAGCGCTGCATGGGTTTGTCATTTCAGGGGTTGGTCATGTTCCAGGATCTGTCTATAGACTTCTCTCAGGAGGAATGGGAGTGCCTGAATCCTGCTCAAAAGGACTTATACAGAGATGTAATGATGGAGAACTACAACAGCCTGCTCTCACTAGGTAAGAATGTCTATCCCCAAATAACTCATGAATTTTGGCTGCACCTTTCTTTTTTTCTTTTTTTGAGATGGAGTTTCACTCTTGTTGCTCAGGCTGGTGTGCAATGATGCAATCCTGGCTCACTGCAACCTCCACCTCCCAGGTTCAAGCGATTCTCCTGCCTCAGCCTCCTATGTAGCTGGGATTATAGGCATGTGCTACCATGCTCAGCTAATTTTGTATTTTTAGTAGAGACAGGGTTTCTCCATGTTGGTCAGGCTGGTCTTGAACTCCCAACCGCTGGGATTACAGGCGTGAGCCACCGCGCCCAGCTGGATGCACCTTTCAGTTGTATGGGTGAATTTTCACCTGTTGCCTAGGGAATTGTTTTGTGTTTTGTAGATTAAGAGATGGGCAGCCCTCTGGGGTCCCTCCATCTTCTCCATGCTTCAGACCTTTACACCTTCCTCTAGTCCTTCATGAGGATTAAGGGAATAACTCTGAATTCAGTAACAGCAAGAATATGTCTTATTTAGTTTTTTTCCTTTTTTTTTTTTTTTTTTTTT